TTACTATTGTTACTGTCATGGTGGTTGATGTTGTCTTTGTTCTTATCACTATTGTTTTGCTGTTATTGTGATTCTTGCTGTAATTGTTATTACTGTTACTGTTATTGTTATTATTGTTATTGTTACTGTTATTGTTACTGTTATCATTATCGATGTTATTGAACTTATTATTGTTATTTTTATAGTTATTGTTATTATGGCTACTATTACTCTGGTTATTGCTATTATTGCTTCTATTGTTATTGTTACTCTTATTAATGTCATTGTTATTGTTATTTGGTTGTTATAATGGCTATTATTGTTATTGCTATGATTGCTGTGATTGTTGTTGTTCCCATTGTTACTGTCCTTGTTATGGATGATGTGTGATTGTTATTGTTATAGTTATGATCGCTGTTATTGTTACTCATACTATGATTGTTGTTATTATTGCTATTGTTATTCATGTCATTGTTGTTGTTAATACTGTTATTGCTCTTATTCTCACCTTGACCCAGTTGATTCCCAGCCCTCAGCCCCACCCTGGCCTTGAAGAGCGAGAGACTTAGCTATTCTCAGCACAGCCTGATATTTTTAGACCCAAGGCTGATCACCCACTGTCTGCAGCACCAGAGGACACAAAACAAAATGGAACAAATCCCACAGGCAGAGGGGGAGAGGAGGGGCCTGGGCAGGATATAACAGCCATCCATCCACCCACCCATCCATCCACTCATCCATCCACCCATCCATCCACCCATCCACCCACCCATCCATCCAACCATCCACCCATCCATCCAATCATCCACCCATCCATCCACCCACCCATCCATCCATCTGTCCATCCAATCATCCACCCATCCATCCACCCATCCATCCACTCATTAATCCACCCATCCACCCACCCATCCATCCATTCACCCATGCATCCATCCACCCATCCACCCACCCCTCCATCCATCCATCCATCCATCCATCCATCCATCAACCCATCCACCTATCCATCCATCCATCCACCCATCTACCCATCACCCATCCACCGTCCACCCATCCACCCATCCATCCACCCACCCATCCACCCATCCATCTATCCATCCGTCCACCCATCCACCGGTCCACCCATCCACCCATCCATCCACCCATCCATCCATCCACCCACCCATCTACCCATCCATCCATCCATCCACCCATCCATCCACCCATCCACCCACCCATCCCCATCCATCCATCCATCCATCCATCCACCCATCCATCCATCCATCCATCCACCCACCTATCCATCCATCCATCCACCCACCCATCCATCCATCCATCCACTCGTGACTCAGTGAGGCACTTCCTGTGTTCATTCCCTTTATTTCCAGAGGTCATGGAGGCCCTGGGATGGGTCAGGTCTTGGCCTTGTGTCCAGTGTCCTTCTGTCTGTCTGTCTGTCTGTCCGCAGGTCAGTTGAAGGCGGGCAGGCCGAAGAGCTCGGGTTGTATGTCACCCAAGGAGGGCAGCAGCAGGGTGGCCCCGGCTGTTGAGTTCGGGGTCGAGCTGGACGCTGGGCACCATGACCACCTGCATCCCCGCTGCCCGGGCGACCGCCATGCCGTGGGGTGTGTCCTCCAGCACCAGGCACTGCGGGGTCAGAGGGCGAGAGAGACACGCGGAGTGAGAGGTCGGCCGGGGGGTGGGCCGGGTCCCCAGTGTTGGAGGGAAGGAAGGGGGGAAGGAAGGAAGGAAAGAAGGAAGGAGGGAAGGAGGGAAGGAAGGAAGGAGGGAAGGAAGGAAGGATGAAAAGGAAGGATGGAGGGAAGGAACAAGAAGGAAGGAGGGACGGAAGGAAGGAAGGAGGGAAGGAAAGAAGGATGGAGGGAAGCAAGGAAGGAGGGAGGGAAGGAAAGAAGGATGGAGGGAAAGAAGGAAGGAGGGAGGGAAGGAGGGAAAGAAGGAGGGAAGGAAGGAGGGAAGGAAGGAGAGAGGGAAGGAAGGAGAGAAGGAAGGAGGGAGGGAAGGAAGGAAGGAGGGAAGGAAGGAAGTAGGGAAGGAAGGAGGGAGGGAAGGAAGGAGGGAGGGAAGGAAGGAGGGAGGGAAGTAGGGAAGGAAGGAGGGAAGGAGGGAAGGAAGGAGGGAAGATGACCGTTGAGCCACGGCGTGCCTACTGGCATGTTCTCTGTGTGATTTCGAGGCCTCCCCCACCCAGGGCCTGGTGTGGGCCAGGTGAGCACTGTGCCAAGGAGTCTCCCTCCCTGTTCCCCTGGGGCCGTCTGTCCATCCGTCTCTCCATCCGTCCATCCGTCTGTGTGATTGTGTGTTTGTCCGTGTCTCTCTGTCTGTCTCTGTGTGTCTGTCTGTCCCTATATCTGTCTGTCTGTGTCTCTGTGGTCGGTCTGTCTGGTCTGTTCTGTGTATCTGTCTGTCTGGACTCTTATGTCTGTCTGTCTGTCTCTGTCTGTGTGTCTGTGTGTGTCTGGCCATGTGTCTCTGTGTCTGTCTATCTGTGTGTGTCTGTCTCTGTATCCGTCTGTCTGTCTATATGTCTATTTGTGTGTCTCTGTAGTCTGTCTGTCTGTGTGTCTGTCTGCGTATGTATGTCTATCTCTCTGTCTGTCTATCGGTGTGTGTCTGTCTGTCCATGTCTCTGTGCTCTGTCTGTCTGTCTGTCTGCCTGGTCTGTGTATCTGTGCGTCTGTCTGTGTCTATCTGTCTGTCTGTGTGTCTATCAGTGTGTCTGTCTGTCTGTGTCTCTGTGGTCTGTCTGGTAGGTCTGTGAATCTGTGTGTCTGTCCCGTCTCTTGTGTCTGTCTGTCTGGTCTCTGTGTCTGTGTGTCTATCTCTCTGTCAGTGTGTCTGTCTGTCTATCAGAGTGTCTGTCTGTCCGTGTCTCTGTGGTCTGTCTGTCTGTCTATGAGTCTGTCTCTGTGTCTGTGTCTCTATCTGGTTTGTCTGCCTGTCGGTCTGTGTGTCTATCTGTCTGTCTGTCTGTCTGCATGTCTGTCTGGTTTGTCCATGTGTCTATCTGTGTCTCTGTGTCCGTCTCTGCGTCTATCTGTGTGTCTCTGTGTCTGTCTGTCTGTCTGTCTGGTCTGTGTATCTGTGTATCCGTCCATGTCTGTCTGTCTGTGTGTCTCTCTGTGTGTGGTCCATGCAGTGGACCCAAGGCCCGAGGCCTCGGTTTACCTGGTTGATATGGGGGTGGGGGAATGAGGAGAGAACCTGCAGGTGCAGGCCAGGAAGATGTCTGGAGAACCTGCGGGCGCAGGCCAGGAAGATGTCCGGGGCGGGCTTGCTGGCCTTGACCTCGGGGTCATCACCCAGCACCACGTGGTGAAAGGCACCGAACAGCTCCTGGTAGGACTCAGTCCCTGAGCTGGTGGCCAGGGCGAAGGGGATGCTGTGCTTCTGCAGGTGGAGGATCAACTTCTCTGCACCTGGAGACAGAGAGACAGGAGGAGAAGACCTTAGGTCTTTGGTGGCCTGGGGGGAAATACACGACAAATCCATCCATCCACCCATCCATCCATCCATCTACCC